TCTAGAGCCCATAATTGTAGAATCTGCAGGTAAGATATATATATATAAAATTTAGTCCTAAGCAGTAAAAATGTAGTGGGGAGGGTGTATACTTTTGGATGTATAAGCCACAAGTAAATATAACCAAAATAAATTCAGTGTTGGCCAAGGGAAAACCCAAGATACTTGTTCTGAAATAGTCATTCCATTTTCTCGAAGTACTATTAGTTGCCATAACGTTAAAAAAAAAAAAAACCCTCATCTAGGTCAGATCAATTTTAAAGCTGGGTTGTATTTCTGAAATATTTGTCGGGGTGTAGCGGGGAATTTACATCCTATGAGGCCAACTCCAACAGCTTAGGGATGAGTATGAAAAAATATTAATGATTGTTAAATCTGAGGTCATATATGTGGGAATCTTTATTCTGTTTTCCATAAGTTTGTCAGAAATATTTGAAATATTCACAAAGCGAAATTTAATTTTATTTAAAGACTAGATGACCCGACTATTTGCTAAGTAATCTCTTCCCTTCCTGAACCCACTTGTCTCCCCAGCCCTTGCCACTCTAGATGACTATAAGTATCAATTGTACAGAAGAACAAATACTTTATTCTTCTCCAAATGGGCTCCTTCAGGTTTTAAGGGTACTCCAGGTTATGGTTTTCTTGGATTTGGCACACAAGTCTCCATTCACCTGACTCACATACTTCATATTTTTACAGACACTTTGCTGTATCCCTTCTTAGTGCTGGGCTCTCTGCTGGAGAAATCCTAATTCTTTTCATCTCCCTCTACTCATGGAAGCTGCCCTCCTCTGGACCTTTCTCAGCTTTGCTTTGACTTTCTTGAGCTGCAGTGACCAGAACTGATCCACCCAGGTTACACACAAGCACAAGTGACAAGCAAAACTAGCATTTCAACAAAGGGACTTCCGGAAGCAAAAATAAAATTGGAAGTTAGCATGAAGGGAGCACGTAGAGAAGCCAGCATATGGTTAAAAGTAAAATCGTGGTAGAAAAGATAAAAATTAACCTCATTGTAACAGGGCAGAGTGGAGATGGAAGAAAAAGGAGTTTTTAAAAAGGGGTGATTCCATTATTTCCGAACTCCAGAGCTGCAGCGAGAGTTCTTGCCTCAATCACACATGGATTGAAATCAAAGCCACTGCCATGGCTAGTGATCTGGCCCCTCTCAGTCTCCCCCACATCACCTCCACCCACTCCCACCTCACTCACTCGGCTCCAGCCACACTGGCCTTCCTGCAGCACGTGGCGCACACACAACCCACTGCAACGCCAGGGCCATCATCCCTGCAGTCCCATCTGCCTGGACCGTTTGCACCCCAGAGACCACCTGCACATCTCACTTCTGTACATCGTTCAGGACTCCCATCAAATGCCACTTCCTCACAGAGGACCGCCTTGGCCAGCCAACAGCCTCTCCTCTGTTGTTCTCCATCTTACCTGCTTGATTGTTATCACTCTCTGAACTTGAGACTATGTAGCTGTTTACCTTTTTCTTCTCAGCATCCTGCATTAGAGTGTAAGCTCTGTGAGGGTGAAGACTTTGAATTGGTAACTGCTGCATCCTCCTCACACTTAGAGTAGTGCCTGACATGGGTGCTGTATGAATGAACGCATGCACGCACGCCAGGTAAATGTGGATGATCTGGACCCGGATTGTCTGGGTTCAAATTTCACCTCTTCTGGGCAAGTTATTTATCTTCTCTGTATACAGTTTCTTCATTTGAAATATAAGCATAATAATAGTGCCCACTCATAGGTTTACCTTGGAAGATAAATGAGTTAATACAGATAAGGTGCTGAGAACAGTGTTAACAGTAGTCACTACTCCACAGATATTAGGATGATCTCGAGAAATGGCAAGAAAGGAAAAAGAGAAGCAAGAGTGGCAGCCCTTCTTGGGTGGCAGGCGTTTTCTACTGAAAGATTAAGGTGGGAGTGGTGCTCCAGCGACTCTCACCTTCTCCGTAATGCTGGCTTCCAAGGACCCAGAATCAATTCTATGGAAAATGTGGGGCAGAGGGTGTCTGAGGGTGGTTTGTTTGTTTGTTTGTTTACATTTAAGAGACATAAAAATTCACAACTGCAATACCTTCCATTTCTCCAAGTGGCACATTTGCATGGAGCATGTATTTGCAGTTTGATACCTGCATGTGGAACACGCTTTTTAAAGCTTCTGGGTCTGGTACAAGTAACAGTGTAATATGTCACACTTCCAAGGTGTGACAAGGCAAAAAGGAAAATCGTAAGATTGCTAGTTAGTCACAGCCACCAGTTCATATTTCCCAAAGGTTATTTTATTCTCCATAAACACAGAAATGGGAGATTCCTTCAAAAATATGTACATGTCATTACATACGCGTATTATTGATTTTGAGAGTGTCTATAAGTAGTTGCTATAATTACCTGTGGAAGTTTTTTTGTTAAGTTAGAAGAAAGTCTTTTTTTTTTTCAGAGGTCGACCAGTGCAAAGATTATCCTATTTGTTAACGCAAGGCCAGTTTAATAAATGCAAACGGAGTGGGAAAATGCAATCCTCTAAGAATTAGGTTTGTGCTCTGTAGTCAGAGCAACAGATGCTGATAATAAGCAACAAGCTGTCACGCAAAATGAGGGCAGAGAGGTTCCTGACACACGGTTTGGAAAGTACCAAAAACACCCGTCTGTCCAGGCTGAGGGGCAGCTGCATGGACGCCGTGGTTTGTTACTTCTGGCCTGAGCCCACTGTTTCCTGTACTTGGCATTGAAAATAAGAACTATTCCAAGGCGTGGGGAAAACCTCTTTCTAACATGTAGTCAACATCATGAATAAGAACACTTGCAGGATGCTTCTTAAAAATAAAAGTGTTTTTTAAGCAGCAGCAGATCAGTAGGAACCGTGCAAATGATCACAAGGTTAGTTAGATAACTCTCAACTCGTCCTCTCCAGGAAGCCCCAAGTGAGAAATTTCTTTTGAAACACTGTAGCCTGTGAAGTTTTGTACAGCTTGAGGACAGAGTATAATTTTTCCCTCTAATGATAATAATTTAGTGTATCACTGATTTTTCTCCCGACTTTGGCTACCAGAAAGCTTACTTGTGGTTCAACCCTAACAAGCATATAGGACCTTATGAGCTGCTTATTCATGATCCTTTTTATTCCTGGCTTTGATTTTCTGCTCTTATTAATTATTATTATTTTTTTTACTGAATTTTACAGTTTTTAAAAAATTTTACTATTTTTTGTATATGGTAGTGTAAGCTGCTTCACCAAATCCTTCATAAGATTGTTTTAACAAAATTAATTTTGATTAATTAAAATCTGGTGAATGTAACAAATATCTCAAAATCTATAAAATACATGATATTCTGATTAATTTACTGCCCAGTTTTCATAAACATAATTTGGCTTGATTGTTATAACCACCTGGAGAATTAGACGTTATTATCATTTACATTTTACAGATAGGAAAATTGAGATTCAAAGATGTAAAGCACTTGCCCATGATCCAAACACCACGTAGTTTTCACTGTAATATGTTGTACTATCTCACTTTTCTAACAACAAAAAAATACTTTCTACTGGTTTACGTATCTTCAGGTAAGAGAGTTATTACTGAATTGACAAAGGTGTGAGTGAGCTAAAATAAAATACTTTAAAATTATAAAAGAAAAAAGTTAGGCTAGCAAGCAATCTTACCAATAATTATATGTGACTGTAAAATATTAGGCAGTTAGAGGAAGATGATAAATTTTCTTTGATGAGTTTTCTTTTTCTGTCTTTTTTCTTTTAAAGAAAAAGATGTAAGAGAAGGATACAATTTAGATAAAAGTCCTGCTTGAAAGTAGGAGGATGGATTAGTTGACCTATGTGAGATAAAATGCTTCGTAAAAATCACCAGGGCTACCACCAGCCCTTCCTAACCACTCATTAGTGCCCACCAGTATAAGAGATGGGCTTTGATCTCTTTTTTAAGGTCACTGCTCTGGCCCTAATCCCAGTACGCTGACACTCCTGCTGGGCTCGGTCCTGCAGTTAGGTGTCTTTCCTGGGCAATAAAGTCTGTGAAAACAGCACCAGGCTGGCCTTGGAACACATGTGACAAAAAAATTCAAAGTACATAAGAGCCAGGATCATCGCCAACTTAATTTTGCAGCCCTTTTTGTAGAGCATAGCATCCTTCCTTTACGTGAACCAGGAAAGCAGCAGTATCTTGCCCAGCGGCACTAATCAGCTGCACCTCATTGGGCATTGGAGGGAAAAAGCAAGAAATAAAAGAGAGGTGGCTCCTCCTCAAATCCAGATGTGATCAGAACCACAAGTCATTAAGCAGCGTCGCTTACTTATGAAGTTGTTCCAGCATGTCTGTCTCCCTGCGATTTCAGCAAAAGGTGCAACATTTTTACACAATTGTTTGCTTTAAGTACTGAATTAAAAATGACTAGAGCAAAATTGCCGATGACAGGTTTTACTCTGATGTTAGATTCAAGACCAGAGTTTGGAGAATACACTTCCCTCACTTGAGGCGATCGCACGTTGTTCTGAACAATTTTCCCTAAGGGTTTTCCGGCTGTGCTTTTGCAGATTTTCAGTGTTTCTGTATTTCTCTACCCCTAGACCTGATACATGAGAAGTCACGCAGGAGAAGCAGGCCCTGTTGCGTGCCTAACATGCGTGCAACAGGCATCAAGTAAATTTCACTGAGACGGCCAAGCCAGCAAGTCGCTGGGCAGGGGTTTGAATCCAGGCTGCCTGATTCCAAGAGCTGTGCCTTTGCTCCTGCACTGCAGAGCTTTCAGGCTTCCTGCTGCCACGAGGAGGGCACACGTGTATGCTAGTTCCAAGCTCTCTAAATTTTACGCAAAGGTTATCGACACCTTGTAAGTCTCACATATATTTCAGTCCTCTGATTTGTTTTATCTGCAGAGGCAGCCCTCCCTTTAGAATGAGCCCCTCAGCCATGGAACGGAACATCTCCAGTCTCTATAAACTCTATGCATCGGCCTCTTTGACTTGCCTGATGTGAGGAGGGCTCCTCCTTCCGATCTTCATCCAGGTCCACACCCACTCTGTAAAAGAGAACAGAAAAGTGGTCACGGCCTTTGCTGCGGGTGAGACAAGACAGTCTCATGTGTCAGATCACCCGACCCAAATACGAAACAGAGGAAAGGTTTGGCAGAAAACCAGCCTACCTCTCCCTGAATCAAAAGAACTTCAGATAGATTTATGGCAAAAATGAAAACTTGTACATCTGGGACTCAGCACAGCTGGTGAGATCAAGCACCAACAGCTGTTCCTCGCTGTTGTCTTTCCTCGGCAAGACCAGGAGCCTGAGAACCTGGGCCAGGAGCCCGCAGAAAAAGGCTCCCAAGGAAACAGGATCCTGGAGGAAGGCCACCTGCTACCCCTGCGGGACTCACTGAACAAACTGCTCTGGGAAGCGGGGGGCCTAGGCTGGAGCAGGCTCCCCAAGACAGAAGAAAACAAGTCCTTTGTCCAGATGCTCATGGAAGCTGCCGCTAGGGAGGATCCAGCTTTGTGGGGTCTGAGGCTTACACAGTCTGGGGGGCTCTCTTTAAGAAAATTAATACAAAAATACAAATACAAAATTAGGTATAAGAGTGACTCTTGAGAAAGAGAAAATGAATTATAAAACACTTCATAATTTCAAAATCTGGCAAATGCAATCGACTTCTCAAAGTCTATAAAATACATAATATTCTAATTAATTTACTGCCTGACATGTCTGTAAAATAACTTTTTCCTCTTAAGTTTTGCCTGCATACTTTATATGATAATGGTTTTGTATAAGAGAGAATAGGCAGATAAGGTAGTCTTTTCTTCCATCAAGACTGATCAGAATTACTAATAACTGGGAGGCATTAAAGCATGCTTCCTTACACACAGACACGCTTGCTGTGTGCAGTACTGCTAAAGCGTAATACCCCAAAAAGACAAGATTTCTGATAAATTTCATTTCATGCAATTCTCAGAAACAATGCCCATTATGCTTATTGGGTATATGCTGCATCACTGAATATCTGTATCCCTGAATTTCCGTTTTGAAAGGGCATCGGTGAGAATGGAGAATGGAACACTTTGAATTTTCCACATCTCATAGTTGGAAGGATTATCCATAGACTAGCTTCTGGCTCAGTGCATTTCAAGCCTTGTTTTTTCCTCCACTACGTGCAGACTTGTGAAGCCAGGCACCACAGGACATGTTCATCTTTGATCAAACCTTGTGGCACTATTCCTGCAGGAGGATGGCCAGGAGTGACTTGCCCACACACAGAAGTGACTGCAGACCACACAGACGCATCCCCCCAGAGAGAAACTAAATGCACTCCCAATCTGGCTTTCCCTTAGTTGGATCCCCCAGATGCCCAGGGCCACTCCAGAGCCCACTGACCAGGGGAGAAGCATGATGGACGGGAAGCTGTGGTGGAAAGAAACAGCGATCATACCCAACAGTGGTTAAAATATATTCCTTTTGCAAATCTTACAAAAACATAGGACCATGGGAACACAATGCTGAGGCTCTTCCCAGGACCTTGGTAGGGCCAGAGCAAGTGGGGGCCCAGAGCTTGAACTTCCTCTGCTCCTCTGCTCGGGAGGAGAGTAAGCCTCCGCCTGTGGGGGGTGGGATGGGGGAGGGGGCACAGCTCAGGGCCACCTGGCTCAAGCTCGAGCAGAGCCTTCCCTGAGAACACCACAGTCTGTAGAACTTTAGAGTCCTTCCCTCCACGCCTGCCCCTGGAAACACTTCTTTAGTGCCCTGGCTGTTAGGTTCTCCAGGTGGGAAGGGGAGTCAGGCCAGAAGCCACCAGTTCAGATGACAGACGTGTTAACACGTGAAAGGAAAGCAACAGTGGAGAGGCAGTGTGTTTAAAATACCTCTGATTTTTCAAAAATTAGTGTCCTCTGGGCAAGAAGAACCCCTTCTCTCTAACCCAGGGGGTGAAATGGGTAGCTATTTATTGTATGCTGATCTTTTTGGCCTTCAGGTAACCAGAAAGAGACTTTGGTGAGGACTAACCTTTGATTTTTTTGAGTAGAAAGAGCTATTTGATCTATTTCACTGAAGTTGGAGGGAGAGAAGAAGGGAAGAGGGAGGAGGGAGGGAAAGGAGGTCAGGAAGGAGTAAGAGGAGGGGGAGGAAAGAGAAGTGAGAGGGGAAGAGAGGGCAGTGCAGGGAGGGAGAGGATGGGGGGCAGTGGGGAGAGAAGACTGGGGAAGGTGAAGGGGGAGGGAGGGTGGGAAGACAGAGGCAGTGAGAGTCAGGAAGGATCCTTTCCAGAAGGGCTGGGAGAGAGACAATGGAGGGGAGGTCAGGCCCAGCCTCCTAAGGTGAGTCTAGGCAGTGACCTTGGGGTCTGGTGACCTGAGTCTAACCTCTGTAAACACTGAGGGCCAAGTTGGAGCCCCCATCCCCCTTTCTCATGGGGCTGGTCTACCTTCAAGCCTCCAGGGGCTCTGAGCTCTCTGGGGAAGCTGGGGCCCCCAGAGGCCTTTATTACTGAGTAAGCCAGAACCTCCCAGCCCCCTGCCCCCAACCAAGGGCTGCCTGGCACCCATGCAGGCTGTGAATTGAACTGAGGGTCTTGAAGTTCCCCCTGCTGCATCTGTTTAGGGCTTTTTTTTTTTTTTTTTGCTCTTTCTCTCTAGAAAACTGGAGAGAACAGAAGTCAAATTTCACAAGAAACCCAACATTTAAAGTTTTGAGGTAGTACTGAAGTTTTCCATTAAAATCTAAGCTTTCCTCCCTAGCAGCAATCACAGCAGACATTTCTAGTTTCAATTATTCCAGGAGCCAGGTGGAGCAGAGGAATGATAGCAGGGGATTAAGTTCTTCAGTTTCTGTGGGACTTGGTGATAAGCATCTCAGGGACCCAGAAGAGCTGCTCTTCTCCGGGAACAGGAGCGCGTCTCCTCTCTCCTCCCACTTTGTGGAAGGTCAGGGTCTGCTCCTGGGGCCAGGCCTGACTCCCTTCCTGCCTACAGCACACTGAACATCTCAAGAGGTTTGAGGAAAGAGAAACTCTGTGTAAGTTATTCCCCCACCCCCCAACCCCAGGGCAGCTGGGGTGAACAAAGCAGACAGAGTCCCTGCCCTCACATGGCATACAGTTTGGTGGGTTTCATTAGAAAAATCTAAACAGTTAATTATAATTTAAAAGTTCTGAAGGAAAGGCAGGCAAGAATGATGCCTTCTCTCATTTGTGATTTTGGCTCCTTTTGATAGAAGTCATGCTAAAATATGGCCTGGCTCCCTGCCTCCTAAACCATAGTGTAATGGGGATACGCGGAACTTGACTAGAGGTCTCAGTATCACCGCTAGCCTCATAAAATCTAACACTCGCTGTGTTATAATGATTTCTGAGAGGAAAGTGAGCCTCTTTATGCCTACATTAAATGGTCCCTGGCTACTATTCTTTTGTTTTTTAAAATTCTTATATCTGCCAGTTAGAGTGCCCTGATTTCCTGTCTGCAACAATAGGTTAGCATATTGTCTCTATGTCTTTAGTTTAGTACAGATGGGACTGATAGCCTGAGAGTCAAGTTTTGTGCATTTTTTTCTTTTCAAGTTTATAATACACACACACACGCCTGCACGCGCACACACGCACATATGTAACAAAACAATACAATTGAAACATTATATAAGGGCTTACAAGAAAACATAGTTATCTTCTGCCATACCCTGCACACCCCCAGACTGACTCTCCATTGTTTCTGAGGGCAATTTGCTGGCCTTTCACAATTGTGACATATAATCTGACACCAGCACGCACGGCACATCACACAGCATCCCCACGGTTAAGCAAACATGCCAGCTGTGTCTGTATCTCTTCCTCTTCTCTTCCAGAAAGCAAATCAGAGTGTGAAAATGATATTCTTTTAGGATTAACCTCGAATCCACTCCCTTTTAAGCATAAAAGATCATTTACACATTAGGGGTTCTTGAGAGATTATCAGAAAGAAGACAGGATGTTGTCCTAGCATGTGGTGCCCCATGTGTATAGAGCAGCTCCCCAGGTGAGATCACAGGTGTCTGGGATGAGGTCCCACTTCCTTGGGTGACATCTAAGGCTCTTAAGCGCCTTCCCCATAACACTGAACTACCCTTGCTGCTTGTCTGCTCTGGACCCAGTCCCCCAGGGCTGGTAACTGGACCTGTCATTGTTTCCGAGACCCAGTGTCCCTGAGCTCTGGCCTTGCCTAGATCAGTGCCTCTTCCATCGACTGAATCCCCTCTCTTCAAACTCCATTTGGTGCCTGGGGCCCTGTTGACCATCACTGGCCATCGTGATGCCCCACCTACTTTCCTGAACTTCCCACTACTGCCCTTCTTCTTCTAATCACCGTGGACCATTCATCTTGTTGCCCTAACTTGGTTCAGATGCCCCATTGCTTAAAGTTTTCACTGACTTGGACTGCAAGTAGCTGGCACCTTCTACTCTGTTCTCTGCTTCCTGACGGAACCCCTTCTGGGGCCCCTGTGATCGTTCTGCCGGGGCTATGACAACCCTGGTCCACCTGGGTCCACCTGTCTGGTTACACCATGACATGCTGCGTCCATGGCTGCATGTCACCCTGGAGCTAGCTCTTCAGGAATCCCAGGACTTCCGATTACTCTGTGGTTGTTGGGGGAACGGGGCTGGTGAGTGAAACCCAGCTGGCAAGAGCCTCTCACTGCTGTGCGACTGCATCACACACTGCCTCGGCTTCCTTGTCAGTAAAATGGGGATGATAGCAGAGCCTGCTTCCCAGGGTTGTTGTAAGGATTAAAGGAGAAAACACTAATAGTGTTAGCTTGGGGCCTGGTACCTAGTGAGTGCTCAAGAAATGTTAGCAGCTGTTGTCCTTTTTATCATTTCTATTATCATCAGTACTTTTTAAAATCAGCGGGGCCAGAGCTCAGTACCACCACGGTCACTGCTCAACCCTTCTTGTCCCCATTTCTGCATCGGGTAACCCTTGGATGTACACAAACAGCTCCAGCTGAGCCACAAGGAGTGGCCAGGGCACAGCAGGGATTTCTGGTTTCACAGAACATGATTTCTAT